AACATCTCGTTGGTTGGAGTTCTTCTCAACCGGCCTCCTAGCATTCATTTCGGTTTTGGAGTGTTTTCTTGGTTCCTTGTTTTTGGGTTGTGAGAGAAACACAGCAAACTGGAAATAGGAAACAGGTTTTAGGATCTCAACAATGCCCCTATCACTAGGTACAGTAGATTTGGGTGGCACGGCAAAAGTTCGGCTCGTACCACCGAATGTCACCAGATTCTTAATTTAGCGAAATTCAAATCTCTCGTCTCCGTTGATGGAAAAACAAAAGAAAAGCAAAGCTAACAGATATTTAATAGCACAACACGTTTCCAATTTACTTCCAACATTATGTTCATGGAGACTAAAATTAAGGATCTAAAAATGGAAATCGACACCAAAATTTTCAAAAAACATATTCACAAAACTAATTGATGAATAGGAGCTTGAAAATAACAAGGGCTATATATACAGAAGGCGACGGGATGTAAACAGGAGATGTGATCTTTTCAACTGAGCTTCTGAGGTTGAATCTTATTAGGTCGGCTAGACCCCCATATGCGGATGGTATGATCGTCGCTTGCTGACGCCAGCATCTGCGGTCTCTTATGATTCCAACTCACACAGTTCACGGTCATTGAATGCCCACGCAAAACCTCTATCGGCCTAGAGTTTCTTCGGTTCCAAATGTATACCTAGACAAGATAATGATTTGAACTTTGTGAGGTTCCGTTTGGTTCATTGGTACAAGAATGATTTGTATATCTGCACAACTCTAGGCAAATTCACAAATTCGGAAGCATACCTGTGAATTCTCACTACCGCTGGCAATAAATGTGCTGTTCAATCCACCGAAGCAGGAGCGTATCACATACTTGCTCTGCTTGTGGCCCATATACTTCAGTGGCTTTTCCCACTCCCCGGCAACATCCCACATATGAATCTCCTGGCTATTTAGGTTGACAATAAAGAACTTACTGTCCCCAGAAATTGAAAGGGATGTGATAGCATGGTCTACTGAGATGACGCGTTCAGCATTTGTTCCCACATTTAAAATCCGAATTTCTTTATCAGAGAAAATGCTGATAAGATTTTCCCCATTCGGTGTCACAGCAAGATCTAAAATCTTGGGCATCCTCATCCCTCTCCATGCTTTTAACTCATTGCCATCGCAATCCCACATGTAGATTCCCTTTTCAGGGTCGGAACTGCCACACACAAGTCGCCTTGAGTCAGGGAAACCAAGCACATGAGCTGACAATGAAGCCAGGATCCCCAAATGTATGCTTGCATGTACCTGTTTCCACATCCCATAGCTTAAGTACTTCAACATTTCCACACGTAAGCAACTTTGAGTCATCAGGGCTCCATGCTAGAAAGGATACCGGTTTGTGGTGACTTCGCAGGGTATGATTTAATGTCACCCTACCGTCCTCCAAGACCTGGCCCAGAATGGCAGAATTAATGTCAGAAATCCTAGCACCTTGGCATCTTCCAGTTATTCCAGTTAGTATCTTATTTTGTCATTTTTTGCGCACACTTTTTAAGCATCAGTTCATACAAACACAAAAGTCCTATTTAAAGTAACAATCATAAAAGTTAGGATCCTGTATAGCATTTATATCTGTTTTGCATGATTGAAACCTATATTAACATTGCCATAATACATCTGGGAACAATACAAATGCTTTTACTGCATTACCAAAATTTAACGATTAAAGATACACCTCTTTGGATCATGCATTCCTCCACGTGACACAATGCGTTATATTAACGTAGCTTAAAACCAGATTCCTTCCTACACACCTCTTACTAAAACAGAATAAACTATTTTTCTTTCCTTATAAATTTTGAGATAAAAGCAGGAATTTCCATGATCTCAAAAGATTATCTCGTTCCCTTTTCTACTTATCCACAATTTTTTATGCATGAAGACCACACTTCCACCAAATAAGTAAAATATCGTGCGCTTTAATATATTAATCATCACTGAAACTTTAGCATCAAAGCAATATTCAATAAGTTGAATAAAAACTTATACGGATATAATTCTATGGTACCTTCCATATGATGGCTGTGCAATCACTTGACGAAGAGGCCAAATACTTCCCGTTATTAGAAAATTGTACAAACCACACTTCATTCTTATGCTCAGTCAAAATCTGCACCAGGGAAAACAAGTGTTCATGCGTATGTCAGTCCTCCAACAGAAGAACATCTGAGCAAACAAAAGTAAAACCCTCATAACTTCAATTTTCGAAACATAAGCAATATTGCTGGCAAATCACACCTGAACAGTTTCAGTAGGGATCTGGTCCCTACCACATAAATGGTCAGCATAAAGTGAAACAGCATCCGACAAATTGTGATACAGACATGAATCAATCTGGGACAAAACAGCGGTTTCAACCAGATGTTCCAACCTGTTCTCAGGCAGCGTGATCGGTGGAGGAAGCAATTTTTCCAATTCCTGCAGTAGTTCTTTTCGCAACTCACAAACAGCAATATCGTCTGTCTTGCTCTGCTCCATTTCCTTTGAGGAAAGGATGATCCGAGCAAGGTTGTGAACCTTACTTCTGTCTACATGTAATGCTGACACCTCTTTCTGCAAAATGGCCAAAGCCAATTTGTCATCCCCGCAACTCAAATACTCCAAAAGACATTGTTTGAGAACAAGAAACAAAGCAGCAGCTCTGGTCTCATCTGTCAAATCCTGAGCAGTATTAAGTGTATCAACACAACCATCCCAATTCCCGCTTGATATCTGTGATTCCAGCATTTGAAAATCATCGGATTTGCACGAAATGCCAGACTCCAACTCCAAGCATGAAGCAGACTTCTCATAGCCAATTGAAAGCAGGCATTGAATTAATATCCTTACAAACTCATGTTTCTTAACTAGGCCTTTTGACCCAAGCCTAGGCGAACCCTCCATCAGCAATGGAGTTTGGCAAATCCTTGATGGTTTGATGAACTTCCTAGCCTTTTACAGTCAACGATCCCCATTCCTTCCACCAGCCATGAAATCAGAAGAGAAAGCAAACATTCTGCCAATTGCCAAATTTCACGCCTCCTATCTCGAATTTCCAGTAAAGGAGGCTTCCGAATGACCACTCTTGAAAAGAATTCTACTTTATATCTCTGTAACCAAATACCCAAATACCCCAAACCTAAGAAAATCAACTTTATAACCCTTCACTCTGCAAAGAAGCTCCCTAAAACCCTAAACCTCCAATTTTGTATTCAAACAACAAAAGCAGTAAATACCGAACAAAGTTTAAACGAAAGCGTACCAAGTCAAGGGAAGCTCTCAAATCTCAATGCCCAAAAATCCTCATTGAGAAAGCACTCATACTCTGCAGAGAAGCTCCCTAGAACCCTACTTCCAATTCTGAATTCAAACAACAAAATCTACTGCCAAACAAAAGCTCAAACGAAAACGTACCAGCACAACAGAAGAGCTCAATTCTCATTTCTCAATGCCCAGAAGTCCTTACGCGAAAAGCACTTGTACCTCAAATGAAGCTGCCAGCTTTACCATCCTAACCCATAAGCCCAAAAACACAGAAACCAACCCAAAAATAGTATCCACCTAAAATCCCTCAATTCCCAAAAACCTTCAAATGGCAATTAAAAACAAATTCAGATAAAACTGGCAAAATTAAAACGAACCCAGAACAGCTCCGATCTCGGAGAAAATAACCCTAGAGCCCGATACGCCGAAAACTGCCATGGCCATTCAGAAGAATCCAACGAACCCAGAAGAGCATGGAGCTCGAAGAGGAAGAAAGAACGATAATTCGAAAACCAGTAGGAATTTTTGGCGGTTGGGAAGATTAGATTGGATTCGTGGGGAAAAATTGGAAACAAGTGGTAAATTTGTGAGGGTGGGTTGGAATTTTGGGAAGCAGCAAAGTGGCAGTTAATGGGAGAGATTCAGAGAGTTTAACACATCGTTTGCTTCGTTTTGAGGGAAAGACTAGGTCCCAGTTTATCTTCTGGTTTATCCCAACGAGATTAAACGGCACGTCGTTTATAGAGTTTTGACTAAATCAAAATATTTATTTATATTATCAAAAGAATATATTGTTGTGTAAAAAAAATTAAAATGCTTATGATCTAAAAAAATGTAATATAGTATGCATGACCTATGAAAAAAATAAAGTTTAGAACTTGAAAAAAAATACTGAGCTTAAACAAATGCTATTTTAGTTATATTTATTTTTAAATATTATTTTAGTTATATATATTTTTTAAAATAAATGTGATAGCTTTATTGGACTTCAAATCAACTACAATTTTAAAAGAGGACACCCTCAATGATATCAGGATGATCCTCAACCCAATCTTGATAATTACTAATTGACAAACCAAACTTAACTAAATGGTGTGCCAAACCAAACTTAATCAAACGGTGTGCCAAATCAAACTTAGTTATACTTATATTGTTATGCGATTTTAACTTTTCAATCACTTTATTTATTACCGATGAATGTGAGATTATATGGACTCATCTATTACAACCATCACATAATAATGAGCTATTATCAACTATAATAACTCAAATATAAACAATTATTACATATCAGACTATTCACATAATAATTACGTTATATATGTTTCAATAGACGTATAAGAAATATATATAAATTATTTCTATGTTAGGTAAGATGCGAACCACTGACCAAAATAGTTTCTAAATCCAATTGTTTAACTACTAATTCTATTTATACGTGGCCGTTTTATTTGATTGAATTTTTTTTTTTTTTTTACCAAAAAAAAAGTTCAATCAAATAAAACAAAATCCAAATCTTTAAAACAGAAATCAGGTGAAACGGCCACGTAACTTGCGTTTCGTCAGGTAGGCCCCTTCCCGAACACATACACTCATTCGCGCAATTTGGCGCGTGGATCAGACGGCCATCATTCGATTTTGCCAAGCCGGTGTTGCTGGAGCCGTACACACGCACGCCAGACTCAGAGACAGAAGCAATAAATTCTCCCCCACCTCCCTCCTACTGTCTCCCTCAACCTGCCTCCTCCTTCCTCCTCTCTCTCTTCACATTCTCTCTCTAAAACACCCACATTCTCTGTCTACACCTCCGCCTCCGCCTCTCTCTCCTTTTAGATCTTTCCACCGCCTTTCATGGATCTACAACCCCCACTCACTCCCCCAGTTTCCGCCTCTCATTCTCTCTCCTAGGTTTAGTCGCCGCCACTCTTTCCACTGTTTTTTTGTAGCTTAAACCATGCAATCCCTAGCTCAATGCGATGGAGAACCTCGCCGGAAACCTAGAAGCCTCGGGCTACACTTCTCCGGTCACTCTCTCGAGCTCCAAGGAGGCTGCTTTTGACGATGTTCTGTGTGAATTTCGACAATGCGAACTCCAATTCTGCTTCTGCTGTTTGTTCTCCTCCTGCTCAGCTTGATTTTCTGCTGCTCAGGTAAAATATTCAGCTCTGTATACTGTGCATTGCAGTCCAATTGTGCTTGGAGTGTTTAGTTTATGCGGTTTTATTAGCTTAAATCTTCGCGGTTTGCTCGAAAAGTTGTGGTTTATGTAGAAAACTGACGTAGTTTTTTTTTTTTTTTTTGAATTTTATACTATTTCAGGGGGTTTTTCTACTAAATATTTACTTGTCTCCTTCTCAATTGCCAGACCAACCGTTGTCTATGAAAAATTTCTCAGTCGAACGCGGTAAGGATGCTACTATTCTATGCATAATTCATTTGCTAGGCTCCACCTTAAGCAGTACAGTGTGTTAGCATAAATATTGTATGTGAAATGATCATTCTTTGAGGTTGCCAATCGTAACTCTGCGTATGCGTTGGTCTTGCATCTGCTACGGTGTTTTAGTTATACATCTTGCCGTGTTAAGTTCACTTCTTTTGACAGCTATACATTTGTTTCTTAATCTGCGGTTGTCCTACCATTTGCAGCAAGGTCAATGTTGATGGTTCTTCCATTTGCTTCATCAAAACGATCCAAAGCATGGGCGGTCAAGCCTTTTACGGGAATCCTTGCACCTGCACCTTCGCCAATTCATCTAGGTATGTATTCTTTTCAGACTATGAACACCTAGATGCTCTAGTGTCCCTGGCATTGCATTGATGTTGACTTCGCAATTACAGGTCCTAGCAGTCCTCACCCACCACAGCGCAACAATTATCGTTATCATCATGTGAGAGTGAAACCCCGTGCTGTTGCTCCAGCTCCATCAAATGACCCAGGTAATTATATGGGGTTTCAGATTTGTCATCAATTATCACGCACTCAATGTCAGGTGTTACTCATCTGGTACAAGATCCAGACAATCAGTAGCTGTTCAGTTGAAATTGTTGAATTTCCAAAAAGTTGTTTAATTTCTATTATGACCGCAATGGGGTGGCCAAGAACTAATAACTGGACCAACTAATCTTCTAGTCCCTTATAAAACCATTCCTCTACCCAGGCAATAGTTAAATGTTTTAGACCTTCCATTTATTCAATACGACGACAAAGTAATGGTCTATTTAATTACATCTTTTGGAAGATGAGTTTGAGGCTTCACCTTATCTTTTCAACAAGGAAAAAAAAGTTCTAAGCTTTACCTTCAACTCTGGGTTGGGGTGCTGCTTCCAACTTTTTTAGCAGCTGCTGCTAGAAAAGGGACTCGGATTCATGGAAATAAAAAAAGTTTGTTAGTTTAACTATGGTCATGACAAGATAGTTTGCCTCAGAATATTGTTTCTCTTAGCAAGTACCTTACCACTTTACTTCTGTGATCATGGTACTTCTGGCAGGTTGTGATCAAATTTGTGTAGAGCCACTTACCACATCTCCATTTGGTTCACCTTGTGGTTGTGTGTTTCCCATGAAAGTCCAACTTTTACTGGACATAGCTCCTTATGCTATTTTTCCAGTAATGAGTGAGCTAGAGATTGAGATTGCTGAAGGCACGTATCTGACACAAGGTCAAGTGAAAATAATGGGTGCAAGTGCTGATAGTCAAAATCAAGGAAGAACAGTGGTGGATATTAACTTGGTTCCACTAGGGGAGAAGTTTGATAATACCACTGCGATACTGACATATGATAGATTTCAGCATAAGAAAGTGCCTCTGAATTTGACACTTTTTGGAAACTATGAAGTGGTATACATTAGTTATCCAGGTACTGCCCTTAATTCTCATGCTAATGTGTTGGATTATCATTTCAATATTGTTTGAGGTTGAGATTGAAACGGTTATAATCAGGGCTACCTTCTTCACCGCCATATGAGATTTACAATGGGCATGATCCAGCTGGAATTGCTGGAGGTCTCCCTATCACCGCGGATTTTGGCGGCAAGAACCAGAGGATGAATATTAGAACGATTGTGATTATTGCTCTGTCTGCATTTGTAGTCCTGGTGGTTCTCCTTGTGGCTATCTGTATCTTTGTGAAGGGGAGGAGAGTTGGAAGACCATCTAACGCAGTCGGTCCTGTATTCACACCTTCTGTTCACAAAAGATCTGGTAAACATGTGGCTTTTAATAAATTTTTAATTCAGTCCCATGGTAAACGACTGTAGACTGAGTGATTGGATATGTGTGTATTGCAGCAGGTATCGGGTCTATCTTATCAAGTAGTATTGCAAGCTCCACTTCAGTGTCCCTAATGTCCACCATGGCTACCAGTATTCTCTCTGTCAAAACATTTCCACTAACTGAGCTTGAGAAAGCAACAAATAAGTTCAGTTCCCAAAGGGTTTTGGGAGAAGGGGGATTTGGACGTGTTTACCATGGAATTATGGAAGATGGGACTGAAGTTGCAGTCAAAGTGCTTACAAGGGATAATCAGAATCAGAATGGAGACCGTGAATTTATTGCAGAAGTTGAGATGCTAAGCCGTTTGCATCACCGTAATCTTGTGAAGTTGATAGGCATTTGTATTGAAGGGCGGACACGCAGTTTGGTATATGAGATTGTTCGCAATGGAAGTGTTGAATCTCACTTGCACGGTATATTTTCTTGTCTACCGTGGTCTCTTTTGGCTTGAAGTTATTCTTCTGAATTGAATTGCCAAAGTGTGTCAACTAACTAATTGTATGTTATGATTGTTTTTCAGGCATTGACAAGATAAATGGGCCCCTTGACTGGGATGCAAGGATGAAGATTGCCCTTGGGGCAGCAAGAGGATTAGCCTATCTTCACGAAGATTCTAATCCTCGTGTTATTCACCGAGATTTTAAGGCTAGTAACGTTTTGCTGGAAGCTGACTTCACACCCAAGGTTTCAGATTTTGGGTTAGCTAGGGAAGCAACTGAGGGAAGTCATCACATCTCTACTAGGGTCATGGGAACTTTTGGGTAATCATAGTTGCTTAAGCTATTACGATATCAGGATTTCACAAAGCTTTTTACAGTGCGTTGTGTTTTCAATATTTTCTTTAAGCTAATACAGTGGTGATAAATGCACTTGGGTATAACAACATAGTTCACTAGAGATTGGGAACCTTTAATGAATGATTAACAGTACTTAGGGAGCAATTTAATTAGAATTTTATATCCTCTGTCCATATAAATGTAAAATTCCTAGTATACTTTGATGACTATGTGATGAAATAATGTTTTAATAAATTTTTGTCTGAGCACCATTTCAACTCTTCTCTTGACCAAAATGATGGATTTTACAGGTATGTTGCCCCAGAATATGCAATGACAGGGCACCTACTTGTCAAGAGCGATGTTTATAGTTATGGCGTTGTGCTGCTGGAACTCCTTTCTGGAAGAAAACCGGTTGACATGTCCCACTCTCCGGGACAGGAGAATTTAGTAACATGGGCACGACCATTGCTAACGAGCAGAGAAGGCTTGCAGCAGTTGGTGGATCCCACCTTAGCTGGAACCTATGACTTTGACGACATGGCTAAAGTGGCAGCCATTGCTTCCATGTGCGTTCACCCTGAGGTGACCCACAGACCTTTTATGGGTGAAGTTGTGCAGGCTCTAAAGCTGCTATACAATGATAACGATGAGACTGGTGGGGACTGTTATAGTCAAAAGGAGTCTTCCGTCCAGGACTCTGACTTTAAAGGTGATCTTGCCCCATCTGATAGCAGTTGGTGGAATGCTGGTGGACTCACTCCCGGATGAATTATGGTCATGCCTCTTCATTCATCTCAATGGAGTACAGTTCTGGACCACTTGAAGATATGGAAAACAGACCGTTTGCAACTTCAAGTTTGGTAGGGGATGAGATATTGTTACCAATCAGACACGGCAATAGGTCAGGGCCATTGAGAACGGTCCGAAGCAAGCCAGCATTCTACAGAGTAAGAGGAAGTAGGAGCGAGCACGGGGGACTGGTCTCGAAGAAGCGTGCTTGGAACGATGGCTTCTGGGTTTGAACAAGTTTGTTAACTTAATTTTTTGAATTTTGTACAGCTCAAAAAGGACCGAGGCGGCTTTTTAGTTAAGCCGTCGGTGTAGATTAGGGTTGGAAAATCCTGCGGATTCCATGTTTGGAAGATGAGAGAGAAAGTGAGGAGAGAGGACTAATGGGTTCTAATTTTGGAATTCTTGATTCATTTGCATACAAGCTCAAGATGGATGGAGAAATGTAAGTTGAATGTAAGTTCAATGGCTTATTGATTTGACAATTTTACCCTCGTTTGTATTTGTTGGGCTGAAATTCATCTCCTACTTGTAGCCAGATATAACTTATCTGATTCAGATTGACACTTTCCGCTGATGATTGTCAGCTTCTGTTAATTTGTACGGACGAAGTATATGGAGATTAAGGTCTTCAAGCTGCCTAGTCTTCAAGCTGCCTAGCATTTATTTGTATTTTTCATTTTTTCTTCTTCTAGTGAACAAGATCATTATCTTAAATAAAGCGAATAAAACGATACTCTAAATTACTAAGCACAAGGGGCATATTCACTGCTGTAACCAGTTGACCTAAAGCAGGTTTGCATTTTGGCACTATTATTAGCTCCAAAATTTGTTCTCTAAGACTCTTAACTACACTTTTTAAAGGTTAAAAGTGGATTTGAATTTAAAAACAATGGAAATGAATTCGAAGACTTATCAATCGGTTCAACTCACATTCACAATCTTAATAAACGAACTACTAAACCTAATACTAATGGTTCAGTTTACGATTTGACCAAATATCTACCAACGTAATCGTAATCGGTTCAATTTGTAAATTAATCGTAAAACAACCAAGCCAATCCATCCATGGATCTTACTTGTTCAATTGCCGATGTGGTTAAACATATTCAATTTAATTCAGAACTTAATTAGGAGTATAATATCCACATATCTTTTTTTACTTCTTACACACATTTTTAATTTTCAACCATCATATATGTGATAAATAAAAAAAATAAAAAAATATATGGATAACACATACTTTTATCTATCAAACCGAACCAAACAAGACTCTCTTTCTTTAACAACAGTCATACAGATACTGACGCAACACACGCATTGCCTTCCACGCGCCTTGCCGTTGGGACATCAGAAAGAACAGAACAATGCTTTCTTTCTCCCCAACTTCCAATGCCATTCTTCTCAACTCACCAACCTCCTTTTCCCTCCCTCCCTCCCCACCTCGCTCCGCCAGGTCTCTTTCTCCCTCCTCTGCTCCAACCACCGCACCATTCTCCTCCGACCAAAAATTCTACATCTTTTAATCACTAATTTCAAGTTTTGATTTCAGGTTCAAAATGTCAATCGATTCTCTCCCCCCTCTTCCCGAAAACCGAACCGTCGTAAGTTCATCCCCATTAATTAATTATCATACTTTTTACGATTGTTAATAATATAAATACTGACCAACTGTGAATGCGCAGCTCGGCGTCGGCACGGTGGTCGTTGATTTTCTGGCCGCAGTGGCCTCTTATCCTAAGCCGGACGATAAAATCAGATCCACCAGCTTAAAGGTTACTTGAATTTACCCAACTTGATTTGACTTTAGTAACTCGGTTGCTTGTGCAATTTTTACCGATGAAAGCTTTGTAAGGAATTAGTAAACTGTTATCGATAGGTCGTTGTAAAAAATGTCGTCTGCCTTTAGGGGAGGGGGAGTTTCAAACCCGGGACGCATGGGTGAAACCCAACACCCTATCCAGCCGAAGCTTTATTCTTTAGTGTTATTAAACTGTTATTGACACTCCAAAAAACTCATTTGCACTCAACAAGTGAAAATTTTCATTTATGCTTAAGAGCGCATGATGACTGTTTTGGAGTGCCAATAACGACCCCCAATTGTTATTGTTAATACGTGTTATTAGAGCGTGAATTGTGCTATGGCTTTGCTTTAATAGTTGCCAATGGTTGGTTGGTTTCTTAGGTTCAAGGAGGTGGGAATGTAGGTAATGCCTTAACTTGCGCAGCTCGTTTGGGTTTGAATGCCAGGCTGATTTCCAAGGTCTTCAATTTGAATCCTTTACTTTGAATTTTCAACTGTTTTCGCCGAGCATTGGTTGTTTGATTATTGTAAGTTTGTAACATGTCTTGAGCAATGTGAAATTATAGGTCGCAAATGATACACAAGGCAGGGGTATACTGGAGGGGCTACAGGACGACGGCATTGATACTTCTTTTGTTGTGGTAAGCTTCAAAAGGAAAGTCATTCATGATCTTGGTTTCACCTGCGGTGTTTTATCAGGCAATTATGATATTAATAATGATGATTGCTGCGTAAGTATTTTAAATCTATAGCCCATCCTTTTTATTTCTTGGGTTATGTTATGTATCTTTCGACTACTGTATCTTAATGCTTTATGCACCTTTGCAATATTGAAAAGTAGATTTAGAAATATATTTAAAAAATAGTTACAAAATTTGACTTGAATGCTTCTGGGAACTCTTAAATTGGTTGATTATCAATTCCGACTGTTGAACAAATAGGATTTGACTGCTGTGCAATCCAATATTGCTATCAATTTTTATCTTACTCAACCTGTCTTATTTTCAGGTTTCCAAGGAGGGTAATTCACCATTTACCTACATTATTGTTGACAAGGAAACGTTAGGACCTTCTCTTATATCTGTTATGCTCTCTCTCTCTCTCTCTCTCTCTCTCTCTCTCTCTCTCACACACACACACACGTGTTCTTGCATGCACGCACACACAACCTTGTGGCAATCTGACTGTATTGCTTAACGCAACCTATTTTCTTCTTTCTACATTTTGAATCTGATCTGATGCATATGACTGTAGCTAGTGTTAGGCACTTGCCCTGCCCAGGAGGGGCAGGTGTAGGGTATTAACTGTGAGTAGGGGCATTGAAAAAGTAGGCACTGACCTTACATTTTGCAATGGAATTTCTCTTTACGTAGCATCTCAAAGGCTGTTTTTGATAATCATTCTCAATTTGATTGACTGTGAGTGTCATTTCCAGGAAAACCCGCACCTGTATTCATACTCCAGGATATCCTCCCATGATACCAGATGACCTTTCCCAATTAAGTTTATCATCTGCATTGGATGGAGCAAGAGTTCTTTATTTAGATGGGCGAATACATGAAACTGCATTAGTTGTTGCGCAGGAGGTAACTGTTATCTTCTTGTTTCTAGTATTTAATTTTCTTTCAAGTTTACCATTTGGTAATTTCCAAGAAAATTTGTCATTAACTAAAGAGAATAAATAAAGCATAACTGAATTCTTACAGGCTGCTCGGAAAAATATACCAATATTAGTTGAAGGTGAACGGCTAAGAGAAGGGTTGGATGGTCTTCTAAACTTGGCTGATTATGCCATATGCTCAGCGAAATTTCCACAGGCAAGTCAGCTGTTCTTCCTTGAAGGAAACTAACTTATGCTCAATTTCTTTCTTTTGAAACCCCTAAAACTAGAGATAAGACGTTGATTTCCTTTCTGTCTGGTGCCAAACAATTTTTAGCCAAAAAAAAATAGCACGTGAAGGAAACTTATCTCCGGTTAATAAGATGTTTTCTAGAGCACTGCTCTTCTTATACCATATTATTTATTAGTCTTAAGCATGTTATAGATATACGTTTCACTTAGGATGTATGGTAATGTGTTGCTCTTATTTTACAGTTAACTTAGACCACATTCAGAAACATTTTTTTGCTGTTCATTGTTTCTTCAATCTATGTTTTTTAAAAATTTCTTACAAGATTTTCTCTACATTCATTGTATATCTTCATCATGTTGCTTAAGCTTAACGCTGCTAGATCATTTATGTGAACAGGCATGGACAGAAGCAGCATCTGTTTCTAGTGCTCTTGTTTCAATGCTTTTGAAATTGCCAAAGATCAAATTTGCAATTGTGACATTGGGAGAAGATGGATGCATTATGCTTGAAAGAAGTGTGGACGGTAAGTTCTCTCCCGGGTTTATTGAGGAGGAAATCAATATAAAACATAGGGTACAAAACTGTGGCTCAGAATTCTGTAAAGATAGTTTGTTTTATCTGATTTAAAAAATTTACAGGTTTTCATTGAAACTCTGTTTCTGGCAGAGACTCCACAGATAGAAGAAATGGATGCCGACAGCTTATTGGAATCACTGAAACAGAGAAGGATGATTGCACAGCTATCCCAACATGTGTTTCATCGGTTAGGAACTTGAACTTCAAACAAGACTCGTTTCCCTTTACGTTATAATAAATCAGCCTGGAACTGTTGTATAGTCCTTCGTACTAAATTAAGATCTACTAATTTGCAAGTTTTCTATTTTAATCCTTTCAGCCGGTTACAAAATTGAGAGCCAACGGAATAGGGAGAGTTTGTGGGAGGTTGTTGGTGGGAACAGCTGAGAAAATACCGCCAGAAGAACTCTTAGATACAACAGGTGCTGGAGATAGTTTTATTGGAGCAGTTCTCTATGGTATGTCTCTCTCTCTATCTCTTTCTCTCTATCTCAGTCACACACACACGCATATTCTTGTTTGATTTCGTAAAGTTGAATTTACTACTTTATGCAAATTCTTCTCTCCATCCATTGCCAGAATCTTTTAGTTTATCTAATCGAAGATGTCGTCTCTATCATGTCATGTACTTTTTTCACTGATGGGATTGTTGGTTTTGTAGCCATTTGCACCAACATGCCACCAGAGAAAATGCTGCCGTTTGCTGCACAAGTGGTAAGTTGGGGCAGTGTTTTGATGTGGTAGGCTGCTGCAACATAGATTTGTTTGTGACCTTTTTTTTTCCTCTGGTGTTGTATCAATTGCAGGCAGGTGCCTGCTGTAGGGCTTTAGGAGCTCGAACTGGCCTTCCACACCGCACAGATGCACGCCTGGCATCATTTTTATCGTAAGATTTCCCAGAAAGTCCTACATGATTGGCAAAGTTAATTGGAAAAACGCGAAATTTAGCCTAGAACCTGAGCTATTTCCTCGCACGAGTGGTGCGGAACAAAAGTGGTGGCTTTCCTAAATCAATGGGTGTTTTAGTATTTTAACAAGTTTACTTCCCTGCGTTCATTAGGTTTAAGGCCTTATAAATATCCCTTGTACTTGAGATTAAAAAACAATGAAGAGTTTGTGAATAGAAAAACTTCGTTTTCCAGAGATTGGAACTCTAATCCTACGATGAGATTATTTTGGTGAGAGGCCAAGAACGGGTGCGACGCCCGTCAAGTGATTTCAGTTACCCTTTTAGACGTAGTTTAATTCAAGTTTTCTGTGGCTTCCGCAGCCGTACTCTATACATCAATGACAATGAGTTTGAAACTTTGTAACGGACGGTGTACTTTATCTTCTGAGTCTACATGAATTCTAGGCATTGTCTGTAGTTGGAGCCTTCTTACAGGTTTTATCTTCTCATTCGTCCTCACC